CAGGACCTGCAGTGGATGCTGGAGATACAAAGGAGAAAATGAAACACTTTTTACTCTCAAGGTGCTTTCTATTGGGGAGACAACACATACACAGCGCTTAGCACATTGCCTGGCACATAGTAGGTGCTTAATAAATGCTTATTGACTATGTAAATGAAAACACCACTAGCAGGCATCAGAATTCAGATTATATTTAATTTCTTTTTTCTCAGAGAACTGATGATGAAAGACTGAAATTTTAAATACAGGTAAGTAGTTGCATCAACTACCCAAGCTGGAATTGATAGTCACCATTTATAAGTCTTAGTGAGTTAGAATAGGCCTTTGCTGGGTATAGGTAAGATATAATTAGAATTATCCAAAAGACACTGGCTATATGGCACCCAGAGGATGATTGTCCAAGCTGAATGGGAAAGGAAGAAAGAGAATGGAATATAAATGTGATATGGAAGAATCCTATTAATATAGTAGAGAAGGAAGTGCCCCTGGACTGCAGGGCAGATAAGGAACAGTTATGGCCAACATCCCAGAGAGTGAATCACCTTCCCTTCCAGGCTGGAGCAACCTTCAGTAAAGCACACAAACAAGTTAAAGCAGAGGTTCCACTAATGATGTTTGCAAATATCACCATTTTGCAAGAGGAGAATAATTATGCACAAAATATCACTTAAATTCTGGATGATAGGATCCTAAAAGTTCTCAACAGTCTAAAATGTTGGTCTGAATCTGATAGGATTAATTTAAAAGGGATAAATTTAAAGTCTTACACTTGAGTTTAAAAAAAATCAGCTTCACAAGTACAAAACAGGAAAGTTATGGCTACATAAAAGTTCATTTGAAAAAGATCTAGATCTTAGTGGACCATAAGCTTGATATGAGTCAATGCTGAACTATCAGAGCTAAGAAAGCTATCAAAACCCTAAACTGCATTTAGAGATACATATAAGCCAGAATGTGGGATGTCATACTTCTACTATACTCTACTTAGAACACGGAGTATCATTCAATTCTGAATGCTGAATTTTATGAAAGACATTAATAATCTGAGAAATGGCCACAGAATAGCCACCAGGTTGGTGAAGAGCAACAACTTGTCATATGAGAAGTAAAACAACTAGGGAGAATTAGTAGGGAGAAAAGATGATTTAGGGAGGCCTGATAGATGTCTTCAAATGTTTTAAGAGCTGTTGTGATGAAGAGGAATTGACAAGTAGAACTGGTTAGTACAAGCTGAGTAAGGACAGATTTAGTCTTGATATAAGGAAAAAACCTCCCTAATAATTAGAATTATCCAAAAGTAGAATGGACTGCCTCAGAAGGTAATGGGTTCCACCCTAGCTTTCAAGCAAATCTGAAACCACTTATTGTACTCATCATTTTCATTCAGTTATGGATAGGATTCAATGGCCTCTGAATTCCCTTCCAGTGCTGATAGTATCCTGTGATACTGTATGAAGTATAAGAAGGTAGATTTGTGTTGTAGCAGGGCAGCTTCATTAAAGTAGCTTGGATTTACCAAGTGTCTACCCTTTTCTATGAACACTTGTGTATTCTGATGATGTCCCAACCTTCACTGAGGAAAGTAAGATGATCTAGCTTGTATGTCCTTCTTGTCTCTATACGGTAGGATTGAAAGGTCACTGTAGATTTAAGATACAGCTAGCACCATTTTGGAGTAATTTGTGTACATTCTTGTTTATCAAATACCATGTACCTGTTTATCCCTGTCATAGACTATTCCTACCATTAGGTCATGGAAGTTATGAACTTAAATCCCAGTGACTGGGTAATACATTAATCAAAGCTCCAGAAAACTAAATTCAGAGGAGACTTCAATAGGACTATTTGTTTTAAAATTATGTTATGTATTTATCACACTTAAGATTGGTCAATACCTAAGCATTGTATAAGGAAAAGCTTTATTGTAATTACTAAAGTAAGCTAATGTTGTTTACAGCATGCTACAGTAGAAAGAGCACTAGGCTTGGAGTAACAATACAAGCCTCAGTTTTCTCATCAGTAAAAATGGGTCTAACATACTTGTACTATACCAGAGGGGTCAAACATGTGGCATGTAAGTCACAATGGGGCCTTTAACTCTCTCCAGTGCTGCCTGAACCAAATTTAAAATGTATTTGAAAAACAGTTGATAAGTAAAACCCACAATAGAACATAGATAATATTAATATACAGTTTTCTAAATCAATAATCAAGCTTGCAGGAATCCTTATGTATGGTGGCCCTTGTTTCTATTTGAGTTGACACCATTTCCCTACACTACCTACCTACCTCATAAGATTATCATGAGATAAGTGCTTTGTAGATATTGTAATAAATACTATGTAAAGATGAGCGATTAGCATTTCACAGTAAGGGCTTAACTAAGAAAATGTTGTCAAGTGCACATTTCTCTGATAGATGCAAAAAATATTCCAAAGAAATATGTAGCCTTCAGAAGAAATGTGTAAAAAATAAAATTTACAACAAATGTATTTTATAATTGTTCTTCAAAATGTTCTCCAAACATTATTAACACACAAAAAAATCAATCATCTTTAAAATATATACACAATATAGAATAATTGCCATGAAAGTTTCCTTGGGTTAGCTTTTGATGTAGTACCTCACTGTCCTAGGACTAGTTAGGAATGTGTAACCTCCAAAAACCTCAAGAAAACTGCTGAATATTTTGCTCCATTTATCAATAGAGAGCTGCTGCACAATGAGTAGGCTATGGACATTGAAAGAGCAGACATGAATCAAATACAGTTCTTAGAACTCAGGGTAACCCTAGCCCTGGTTTCTAAAAATTGTGTGTGGTCCCTTTGTTAAAAGATTTTTTTGAGGAGAAAAATGTTCAGCTACAAAAAAAAAAAAGAAAGAAATGGGGGCTGAGTTAATAGAAGAGTTAAAAATGGAGTTCTCCTTTCAATTAAACACTGATATATTTTACTTATACAGTACTTTAAATTTTAGGATGATTTGTTGTGGTACTGATGTCTGCTACAGGTCTCTTTACAAAATAACATCTTGACAAAGAAATGATAAAAGAAAAGTACACTTTTTATAAGCCAGAAAGTCCATTTAAGAAGAGATAGTTTGTGTTTTTCAATGCTATTTCTGATGTCTATATTTCAAGCTTCTCTAAGATGCTGGCTCCAAAGAGAGGGAGAAAACAGACCCTTTCTGACTAATGGAGACAATAGGCATTATTAGCATTGTTAATATTGTTATTTTAATGCAAAGGGATAATTATAGGATTTCAGTCAATCTTTGGGGGAAATTATTACAGAATTAATGTTCTAGAAAATCTTCACTATTCTCTGACATTCAGTCAATAAGTATGTATTGAGTACCTACTATATGCCAAGCATTGTTTGAAGCTGGGGATATACAAAGAAAGGCAAAAGGACAGTCCCTGCTCTCAAAGAGCTCACAGTCTACTGGGAGAGACGTGAAGATCAATAATATCCAAACAAGATATACACAGGATAAAGGGAAGATAATCGATACAGGGAAAGCACTAGCATAATCCTGTCCTATCAGTCTCTTCTGCCCTATTCACTCAAATCCTCTTAGCTCCCACGTCCTCTCTCCCCTAGGCTTCCACACCCGCTGAACTAGTCTTCCTTCAGAACCATGGCCAGATCTCTGACCCCTTAGACTCAAGGTTCTTCCAGCACCATGGCCAGCTCTCTACACTGCCCGTCGGAGCAGCGCAAACGCCCACGCGGCACCCTTCCATCCCCGCCCCCTCCAGTCACCTCCACCTGCTACAGCCCCGCCCTCTTCCTCCTCCGCCATCCACTCAGCCCCCTCCCACGTGCAGCGCCCCACCCGGCAGCCAGTGGCCCTTTAAACCAACACACAACAGAGCCACACACGCCGACGGTATCCGGGGAGGGACATAACTCATGGCACCTAGCCAGCTCGGTCCCTGGAATGCGTTTCACAACCTTACCTCCCCCACCACACACGCAAACAAGCGCGCACACATACCTCCCCCGCACACCGCATACAACACCACACACATGCACACCCGCACACATATCTTCCCCTGTATACATACACACGCACACACACACACACACACACCCCTCCCCCACCACACACGCATACGCCCGCCCCCAGCCCCATCTCTTTCCCAGTAGCGTTTCCTGGGCCGGGTTAGCACCAGCTGGAGTGTGATGACCAGAGCGGCACAGTTGCAAAGGGGCGCCAGCCCCGAACACCGCTCCTTCCAGCCCCTTCTCTCTCTCTCTGGCTGCTGCTGAGTGCCTTCATTGCACATGGGGGGCAGCAGCGGTGCAGAGGTGGAGGCAGCGGCGGCTGCGGCTGCTGCTGAGGAAGCGTATCGGGCGCTGCTGCTGCAGCCGCCGCCGCCGCCGCCGCCGCCGCCGCCCTACCCCCGGCTTCATACCGCTGCTACCACGGCCGCCGCCGCCGCCGCCGCCGCCGCAGCCGCTGCCTCCTCTCTTTCGAGGGGCGGGGGTCTCCGGCCAGGGGAGGGCACAACTCAGCTCCACGCCTCTTCCTACCCCTCCCGGCCCGCGGCCAAGGTGCTGAAGCCGGCAGGGGCGCCAGGCTCCTCGGAGGAGCTAGTCCTCCCCGCGCCCAGCCCGGGAGGAGAAGGAGGAGGAGAAAGAGGAGGAGAAGGGCGGTGTGGGAGGGGGCGGGAGTCCAGGCAGCTCGGACCCCGCAGCAGGAGCAGCAGCATCAAGAGGGGGAGGAGGGAGGAGGGGCAGGGCTTCCCTATAGGATGCCGGGCGGCGGCGGCGGCTGCTTCCTCCTCCTCGTGCGCTGATCAGCTGGCGGGGAGACGCTGTGCCCGGCTTGGAGAGGGGTGCAATTCGGGCTGTGGGTGGGCGGGCTGGGGGGGAGGGGGAGGGTGGGTGGGAGTTAGCATGCCAGCGTGACGGGTTCCCCCCAGTGCCTGCCCCGGCCCCAGCGCTGCCCCGCGCTACGCCGCGCCGGGGCTGGTGCCGGCACTGGGTAGCAGGATGGGCTGTATCCAGAGCATCACCTGCAAGGCGCGGATCCGGCGGGAGAACATCGTGGTATACGATGTTTGCGCCACCATCGACCAGTGCCCCACGCTCATCGAGGAAAGCTCGCCCATCGTCTTGCGGTACAAGACACCTTACTTCAAAGCCTCCGCCCGGGTGGTCATGCCCCCCATCCCCCGCAACGAGACCTGGGTAGTAGGCTGGATTCAAGCCTGCAACCAGATGGAGTTCTTCAACACGTACGGCGACCTGGGCATGTAAGCGAACATAAAAAGGAGAGAGAGAGAAAATTACTAACAAAATTCTCTCTCTCTCTCTCTCTCTCTCTCTCTCTCTCTCTCTCTCTCTCTATTCTCTTTCTAACCCTCCCTGTCACCTCCTCTCCGCACCTCCCTCGTTCCTCTGCTTTTGTTTCAGTGACAGGGTGTGTAGGGAGGATCAGAGAGGCATTTTATTATTTTTTAAAACACGTAAAACCAAGTGAAATCGTGCAGAACAGAAGGGAAAGGGGAAGGCGGGGTCAGAAAAAGAGAGAAGCGCTTTCGTGTTGCCCTGGCGGGCTTGTTTGAAACGCGGTTACCATTCTTTGCGGGGGTTAGCTCTCGTTTCTTCTCTGAATCATTTGGAACTAATGCAGAAAGTGGTGGGGGAAAGAGGTGTCTAAAACATTAAATACTTGACCTCTCAGTACAAAATTCGACAGAAGGAGGAATGAGGTTATGATTCTCTGTGTTTTGTAATTTGGAGCTATAAGAGCAAGTGATTAGTCTTCAAGATGGGAACTTGATGTTTCTGCCTCTGCCCTTAACGACTGAACTTGAGTCCTAGATACCGAAGATTAGGGAGACTAGAAGGTTTTCCTTTGGTGTATTTGACAGAATTGCATTTTCCTCAGGCTCATAATAGTAATAAGTAGTACCGGACAAAGTGCTGTACAGTGGAGGAAACGAGTTTGGGACTGAGGATTCTCAGGAGGGAACTAACACAGTAGAGGATTGTTTATTTGTTTTTTTCTCAGTGAGAGAAATGGTTGGTCCTTTTGTCTGTCGTGAGTGGGGTGGAGTGACTTCTGTTTCTCTTCAAAACTTGCATTATTTCTTCCAGAAAGTGTTTCCCAAAAACCTAGCTCCCGAAACCACTTTTCCGAGGAAGCCAGGAGCTGTCCAACTTCATTCAGCACTTCGCTTTACCTCGTCCCTGGCCCTAGCTCGACTGCTTAGGGTTTTCAGTAGCTTAGAGTAACTCCGAACCTTCTCAGCTGCTTGGGGAGTCAAGAAGGAGGTGTTCTTTTGGTTTTTTGAATTACTTTCTCATTTCTCCACCCCACCCCCTTTTCCCAGAACACTTCTTTCAGAATCAGGGCTCTGAGTAGGTGGCAGATACACTGGTTAAAATGTTTTGGCTGCATTGTATCTACGATTAAATTAATAAAAGCAACATCTGTGAAGCATGGTTATTATCTAGAAGTCTTTAGGGAACCCCCCCCCCAAACTGAGCTTCATTTACAAGTCATTTTCTTAAGAGGAAACATTTAGTAAGCTACAGTAATCTCAAGGTATCAATAAAGGAAAGGGAGAGGAAAGACTCAGTTTAAAAAGTCACGATACTTTAAAAGAAATATTTTGGATCCCTTTTGTTCATTTAAAGATCATAGGGATTACAGGATTTAGATCAGGTAGGAAGCTTTGAGGTCTTCTAGTCCAATCCCCTCATTTTACAGATGAGGAAACTGAGACCCCTCCAAAATGAAATGAATTGCTCAAGGTCACAGAGGTAGTAAGTCACAGAGTTGGGTTCTATACCAAATCCTCCAGCTGAATACCAGCACTCCTAATTACAGACTTTTCTAAAAAAAAAAAAAAAAAGATTTTGATGTAAGGTTTTTGTTTTGTGTTGTTTTCCAAAGCTTTTGTCTTTTTTTTCTTCTTCTTATATTGCTCAACCAGCAAAACATGACACTTGAGACGACTGGTTTATCTTGTACATGCTCAGTTTCCTCCATTTCTCTGGGCACTGTATCCTCTTCTATCCAGCAGGCAGCTGGGCTGTGAGAAATCGGGGGCTTATTATTTTGGGTGAATCATGCCACTTAAACATACACACACCCTCAAAAGGAATGGTTTGTCTGAGTGCATGTGTCTCTTAAAACTGCTTTTAGAAATCTGTTATTTTCAATCCAGTTAGAGCAAGCTGAAGATTGGGCAGGGGCCCGGTGAGCTCAGGGCTGTGATAGCAGAGTGGATAACCTTGCTCCTTTGTTTTTGCTGGTTCTTGAATTGGATGAATCTATGGGGACTCCTTGTATATATAATTTGTAGAATAAATAGGAATTTTGTAGAAAATAACATAGAGAACTAATGAAAGACCAGCTCTACTCTCATAAAGACTGTACCAATCCCTTTCATTCCAGAGAGACTTTTATGATATAGTCTGCCTACAGTTTATTTTCCTCAAATAACTTGTGACTGGCCTTTATATTTTATTGACTTCTCAAAAATAAAGAATGGTATATGTTCATCTATGTGTACATATGTACATGCATGTATATGTGCACATACATGTATGTGCATATATGCATATATTTCTCTTGAGGAGGAGCAAATTTAAACAGAGGTTGGAGAAGTTAAATTTACTTGAAACCAAGAGACACCAATTCTACTCTAGAGTAACATTCAGATAAGCATGATAGACCTAAGCATACTATGGCCTCCATCAGACACATGTTCCCTGAACCTTTTGCATTGAATTCTTGTTTTTGTCTAGAAGGGAATTAGGCATGTTGTTATCATTGTTGTGTTGTTGTTTTTGTTATTGGTACTTTTTAAAATCACTTGTATATTAAGATTTCTGATCTGCTTTGAGATTGACGTGGGACTCAAAAGCACTTCACAGGAAATTGTAAAATGAATTCATGGCTTATAAAATTGTTTCTTCTTTTTCTGTCAGTTTACTTTCTTAAAGACCCTTCTGAAAACACACAGTTAAGTGATTTGCCTTACTTTTAATGCCTCTTTTTAAATCTAAGCGCACTGTGGATATGAGACCTATAACACAAATGCATAGGTTTACTTGTCACCAGAAAACTTTGTGTCACTGGAGACTTTTCTGTGTAAAAAGAAACAATGAAATGGTAATTGACAATGCATGAAACTCACTAGCATCTATTCCCTGTTAGGTCCATGTTAGCCAGCTCTATCCCATGGGGAAAACCCCACAGGCAGATTTTTAAGCCCTGAATGATATTTGTGTTATATTAAGCATGATACAGTAAAAGAGGATTTAAGCTGGGAAACTGCTTTTCAAGGATGATAAAAAAAGAACTTTGTCTAAGCACATCTTCCACCAGGGGAATATTTCACAGCCAAAATTTCAAGAAAGCTCTATCTATGTAGTGGAAGAAAAAGCAAGTGATTTAATATTCAAGGATTGAAGTGAATTTCAGCATTCTTGAACATGAAAGTTTCTAGGAGAGGTATTTGAACTGAATGAGAGTAATACTTGTTTATTTTCCATATCTAACCTTCTGTTTTTGGGAGTGGTAGAGTCCTTCTTTTTAATTTGCAATTTAGCCCTCTCTGATTACTATTAATTCAGATTTAAATAAGCTGCCATAAAATATTCTCCAGAGGAAGAAAGGTTACAGGACCTTTCAATCAGCCAACAAATGTTTGAGTACCAAGTGTGTGCAGGGCGCAGTCAATGTAGGGTATATAAATCAGTGTAAGATGTAGCTCTTAGCATCTAAAAGCTTACAATCTAGTTGGAGAGATGACATACACATATGAAAAGATAATTAGGAGATAAAACATTAAGAGAGCTAGAGTATCCAGGAATGAGGAGCTGGTAATTCTGCTGCTATCTTCCTTGCTTATAACACATGTAGGTATTGTGTCTAGTTCTGGTCGCTACATTTTAGGAAGAATATTGATAAACTCAAGGATGTTCAGAGGGAGGTGATCAGGGCCTTATGTTCATGGCATGTGGGGATTGGTTGAAGGAAGTGGGGATGTTAAGCCCAAGGAAGAGAAGACTAATGGAAGACATGTTGCCTATCTACAAGTATTTGAGTATTTGAAGGGCTGTCATGTAGAAGAAAGATTTTATATTCTCCTTGGCTTCTGAGGGCAGAAGAAAGTAAGAACAAGGGTTAAAAATGTGTAAAAATGTGTAGAAATATGTAAGGAAGTCTTTGCTAACAATCAGAGCTATCCAAATGTAGAATTGGCCACTTTATGAAGTAGTGGGTTCAAGGTCTTGAAACAAAGAAAGGCAAAATGATTATTTGGTTGCTACATAGTTATAGAGGGGACACTTTTTCTGGTACAAAGGGACTAAATAGCTTCTGAGATCCCTTCCAACTCTTAAAAATCCCATGTAAAATATGATGAGACCTATAGATAGTACAGGCTATAAATGCTATTGGCATTCAGGGCAGAGAAATTCACTAGAATAGAATGATCAAGAAAGGCTCGTAGAGGAGGTGAGGTTTGATCCATGACTTGAAAGATATGTAAAAGTAAGAGCACTGAAGAAAAAGAGTGATGGTATTCTTAGTGAAGAAAATAGAACATGTAAAAGTGTTGAGGCAGAAATGTACAGGTTTTTGTTTTGTTTTGTTTACTGGTGGAGAGAGAAGAGAGAGACTGAGTGGCCTGGAATGGAGATTCACATAGAGAGTTGAGGGAGATAAAGTTTGAAAGTTGGTTGGTGCCAGATTGTAGAGGTCTTATGGTGATTCAACCAGGAAGAGAGAAGGCTGAGCAGTGACTTCCCTAATAAGATTACAAATATAAGAAGGGTTGCTGCTGTAAAACAATGCAAGTAAATGTCTGTCATACCCACTCCCAAGAAGAAAAGGGTAGTCATAGGGTAAGATATAGGATATAATTATAAGTATAGAGTCATAGAATTAAGACATAGATAAGAGACAAGAGCTTTTGGGTGAAGTGGGTTTAAATCAGGAGTTCTTAACCTTGGGGTCGACAAATTCATTTTTCTATTATTTTGATAACTGTCTTCCAATATAATTCATTTCTTTTGTAATCCTATTATTTTATTGTATGTATTTAAACACATTATTCTAAGAAGGGGCTTATAGGTTTCACCAGATTGCCAAAGGGGTCCATAATACATCAAAGAAGAACCCTTGGTTTAAAGGCCAGGGTAGGTCATCACAGAGATTGTGGAATGTTCTTTCCAAATGATATTTTAAAACTCATAAAACAGGGATGGCTATGATATAACCCTGTGTTAAGGT